ATAAAAAATTTATAAGAAATATGTAACATAAAAAATTTATAAGAAATATGTAAATAAAATTTTTATATTTTGTTAGACACGGCGATATATTAAAAAGCAATTTTTCTTATGAAATAAGCACGTTAAGGTAAGTACATACTTTTTCACCAGATGCTTTCGCCAACGCAGATTTCCATGCATCTTTCTCTCTAATATCTTCAGCTTTTTCTTTGTCGCCTAATTCTTCCAATTGTTTCAATTTTTCTTTTTTCTGTTGTAATTGTTGTAACATCTTTTTAGGGTCATTCTGACTCTTAGGTAGTTTCTTCTTTACGCCAATCTCAGAGAAGTCAAATTTACTGAACACCATTTTACCTTCCGAATTGAAAACTGGTTTTGGTTTCGGCACTTTTGGTACTTCCTCATCTTCCGTCTTTATTTTACTACCACTAGCTGTATTCTGCTCTATCCTAGCAAGCTTCTTCTGTACCAAACGTTCTTCTCTTTTCGTCTTCTTCTTGATTCTATTTTTCAAAGTTTTCTTAAGAAGTTTCTGTTTATAATCCAACTTTTTGACCCCCTTTAATTCCTCCAATTTTGCATGTAACTCCTCAAAGGTATGTGCTCTCTGATTTTTCTTGCCTGGTATAGTGAAAGTCTTCGCTGCAATAGAAAATAATACAGTAAAAAAGAAAATGAGCAATAAAGCTTGCAGAGAATAAAATTCTTTTTTGTTTTTGGTAAACAAACAAAACGCAAACTTTCTTGAAACAAAAATTATTATCTGAGTGACAATTTTAATTGCCATCTTTTTGTATTGCACTAAAATATAAACATAAATAGAATTTTATTGACTAGTAGACTGAATTCTGCACAATCATCTTGCACTTTTTACATAAGTGACTAACCTTTTTTTGTAGGCTCTTTCTCCTCCGTCGCTGGATAATTTTTATCAGCTAAATAAAAACATAAAATATCCATTTAATCATCACGAAAAAATGTAATCCTTTAAAGTTTGGAAATTATATTATTTGATAAAAATATAGTCACCCAATTCACGCGTCGACAGAGGCATTATAGATAATAAACACGATATAAATTGATCCTCTTTCTGAAGCTCTTTGCGCGCTTCCTGAGCTTCCTCTTTATTGAAACCCTTCGACATTGTTAATTGCATCTTCCTCTCGACTCACGTGTACCTCAAAGAGAATGTAAATAGTTTTATCTGAAATAGGTTATGTTGCCCAAGTGCTACAAACTTTGAGCATGAAGATAATAGATTCGGCATGCTCACGTTTATTTCTCTACATATGTCGATCGAACACAAAAGAGGAAAAACAAGAAATAGATTCTTAAAAAAAGAAAGAATTAGATTTCTCTTCCATTTTTCATCGGTTCGTTTACTTTACGTTGAGCAAATAAGAAAAAAAAAATTTTTCTTTTACAATTTTGATTGTAATTTTTATATATTAAAAAAATTTTTTAATATATAAAATCGCTATATACAGAATATATATACAGAATCGCTATATATATATATATATATATATATAAAATTAATATTAATGTATACAAACCAAATTTTTTAATAAAATTTTTTATTTTATCTCTTCTAATTTTAATTTTTCATTTTCTAGTATTTGACTTTTTGCATTTTGATTACAGAAAACATAACATGGCGCAATTGACAATTAACAGGAAAACTGAGGTTAGAGCTGCATACACAACTTTTGCGATTTAAAGTGATTTAAACAATATAAATAAATATAAACCATATTGATTTCTGCCTTGCCTAGACAAATGAGAGGGAGAGGATACAAAGGAGAGAAAAAGAAGAAAAACAAAACGCTTGTACAGGTAAGGGATTTACACTTTATTATTGTTATTAAAGTAAATTTATCCCTATAAGAAGCAAGCAAATTGATTTTTCATAATCCATCCATATACAGGCGCACAAACACACACACACGCGCGCGCGCGCACACACACACATCCACCCCGCACATACACCCACACACACTCACACGCAATCGTTTTCATAATACAAATACATTATAGTTTATTTCGTGAGCTAATATTATTCAATCAGAATTTATCAAAATTACACATACGAGTTGCATAAAGTTATTTTAATATAAACTAAACAATGAGCTGTCACCTTTATGGCAGAAAAAAAATCCTTACAAAAATGTCGTTATCTACTATTAAAAAATACCAAATTATTTACAGATAGTTCCGTCTACCAATCGTGATCTTTGTAAAACAATTAGATTCTTTCCAGCTAAATGAAAATTATCAAATTCTTTTTCGACAGCTACCGCGTCTTGTACAGTCTTAAAAAAAACATGACAGTATCTTAAATCATTTTCAGGGATTGTCTTCACAAGCGTCGCTGAAATTGGACCGTACTTCTCAAACAAATGTAAAATGTAATGTACACCATAGTTTGTATGAATGTTAGCAACAATTATTTCTTGATATAATTCAGGTAAGGCGTTCCTAGCAGTCCCACTTAACATATGGCAGTGCATTGTATCAGATTCATTCAACTTTGTTTCTGTGTCAGAAATTAATGCCGGTATATTGTGATCATGTGTGCCAGCTCGCATTTTATCCATTTTGATATCTGTCTCAGTCTTTGTTGAAGGATATAATTTAGTTTCTTGTTGCTTTTCTCTCATTACTCGATCATAAGCTTTGTTACTCATGGGATTCTGTTGTCTTGAAAATGAGTATTGTTCATTGGACATTTGTGGACTTGTCTTTTTATATTTGGTTTTATTTTCATTAAATTTATAGCTTTGTCTTGAACCGCGAGAGGCAGTGTCTGAAGAATAGTCGGTATCTTTTAATTTATCCAAACCAGAAGTTTTCGTATTATAATTTGACTTTTCTCCGTTTTCTGGAGATCTTTCATTATGAATGGAGTTCGAATTAAATTGTTTGCCAGTGCTAAATGTCCTTTGTGACGTATCTTCTGTCCTTGCTGCCTCCCATGGACACAAACTTCCTTGATCAGTTGGTTTTGTTCCACCCATTTCTGTACTTGCTGTTGTCTGCCATGAATTCAAACTTCTTTGATCAGTTGTTTTCGTTTCAGTCATAATTTTATCTTTTTGTGGTAATAAGGATATCACGTTACAATCGCGTAGACCTTTTATACACCTTATTACTTCCTCTTGTGTTTTATATTTTACAAATCGAAGTCCATTATTTTCACCACCAGGATATATCGATACAATATTTCCATAAGGTGAACAGAGCTTCTCTATTTCATCCATTTCGAGTCCTTTCCTGTTTGCAAAATGTATGGTGTAAGTATCGTCTTTTGATAGTCTATAATATTTTCTATAATCTATTGTAGTATCTGAGGAATTAGTCTCCTTGGAAATTTGTTGTTTTGAAAATAATGAAGATTTTTCATTAAATACTGACAAATCTGATTCGCTGCCTCTCACATTTGAATTAGGTCCATGATTAGGCATAAATTTTTGATTACTCGTAAAGTTATTGGATCTATTATTTTCATTAGATGTTCTTTTACGAGGTGAATTTTCTCTAGCGTTTGGCAAGTTTTTATTCAATTTCTTGTCGTTGTTGAATGTTTTTTGAAATGCCTGCTGTTGACTTGAATCTCTGTTGTCCCTTTTTCTTATTTTACTCCTTTCTGGTAATATCTCTATGTTACTGTCTTTGAAGCCATCTAAACAGGCTATTGTTTCTTTCAAGCTTCCTAACTTAACAAACGTAAGTAAAGTGTCTTCTTTACCAAAGTTTATGTCTACAACTTTTCCATAAGATGAAAATGCCTCCTTTATTTCAGGTGTATCAAGTCGATCCTTGTTATAAAAATGCACAGTATAAGTCCCACCTTTATCCAGCTTATAATATTTATCGTGATCCATTGTAGTGGTTGTTGTTAATTATTCTTCCTCCAAATATGTCTTCTGTTTCTTATTAGACGAAACAGTACGACCAAAATAGGTTAGGTTCAACCAATTTCTCAAGTCTTTCCACCTAAAATCATTTCAATAAAATTAGCATAAAAATGTCTCTCTCCTTTACTTTAATACAGTATAAATTAACCTCTTTGTCTTATCAAGTAAGCAAACAAGTTTCTCTCACCTGATTACAAAAAACTGCTTACTTGTCAATGATTTCTCGCAACGAATGCTTCTGGCCGGCTCGCCGGTCGGGCAAAAATCCGTCAAAAATATCCTATCCTGTTATCTGTTATGTTACTCGAACGTCGAACGCACAAGCCTCATGGTTGGGAATAATATTGATTGGTCTATTGGTCAAGTCTCTCCTGTTGTGCATCTAACACCTATATGTACGTAAAAGCCCATTATATTCGGATTCCACTCGTATGCTCAGTATACTCGATTTTATAGATAATTGAAAATATATACTCACGATAAAATTAGGCAAAATTCTGCAAAACCCACGTCAATGGCATTAACCCACGTAAAGAACCGTGAAGCCGTGAACGGCGTGATGGCGTCGGTGCCGTGCCGTCGGTCGGCGTGAAGCCGTGAACCGTTCCAGAAATGGCCAAACCCGGAAATGAAATGTTGAGCTAGATGTCGAACGCGTCGCGTCTAGGTATTTGAACATCATGACAGTGTTTACATGTAGCCGAGATCCGATGGTTTTTTTTTTCCTCAAATACGTTAGATTTCTCGTAAGTACTATCAGCAGTATCAACACATTTTGGAACGCATTCAGCGTTCGACAAATTGCAAAGAAGAAAGAAATTTTATTAAAAATTTATTAGAAATTAATTGCGAATTTGGTTGGAATTAATATGCGCACTGATGCAAATATTTAAACATATATTAAAAGCCATGTTGTTTTAATTTAAATGTAAAATGCAAATGTTTCGACTGATAAAATTATGCCTGATATTTTATCAAACAGCATAATAAAGTGTAAGAATTTCGCGGTTTATTAGATATATATTTACATTAAACACACATCTTTATGTTGATTTGTGTATGACGTACGATTTTAACTCGGAAACGAGTGCCTGATTTTTGTTCTTTTTTTTTTTGCATAAAATAATGGTTTATACTTAAGGTGATTTTTACACTTCAATTAAAAGTCATTGTTATTAATTACATATTTACATATTTCTGATTGTTCGATAATTTATTAATATTTGAGGATAAGAATGTATATTTACTTCACATTTTCTGAAAAAAGTATTGAGAGACCAAAAAAAAATTTTTTTTAAAACAAAAGAGGCACATTAAGATTGCTGTGATGTGAGCTTAATTTTTTTAATACAAGGGCTCGATTCTTGAATCCATTCGCGAGAGAAACGTATGCGCAAATTCTGTTCTTACAGAAACGTTGCAAGTTGATTGGTCAAAAACCATGCGATAGCCAATCAACTTGCAATTTTTCTGTAAAAACCACATTTGCGCATGCGTTTCTCTTGCAAATAAATTCAAGAATCGAGCCCCAGGGGTGTAGCGAAAACTCACCCCAGGCTCAAAATTCCCGGGTTTGTGCACTAGTGACTATAGTGCGTCCAATCGAATTCGCTATAATAAGATGTAGTAGAAATATAAAGAAACAAATTATACGCATTAATGAAAAATAAAAGAATAAACATTATGCGATGTCAGAAGTACGTCAAAATTTTTTCTATCTGTATAAAATCATGAGGAACGGAGAAAAATGGTAATTGCTGATTGGCTATACATAGCAAGAGTTTCTCGGGATCGATTTTATGTATCTTGAAACGAGGTGAATTGTTACAAAAGTGAAAAGATTTATTAGATTTCGACAAATGAAATTGTAGATTAGTGAATTTCTTCTTCGCTTTTGTAATTTTTACATCGTTTCAAGATATTCAATTGATTTCTGGGGCCTTAATTCTCGCACATGATATGTCGTAAATATATATCACATACTTTGCAACCAATAGCATACTTGCAAAATGTGATTTTCTAGTGACATTCGTGAAATGTCGTATGCGATATTTTTCGAGGATAAGTCCCCTGAGGGTCGATCACGTATCTTGAAACGAGATGAAAATTATATACAAAAGTGAGGAAATTCACTAGAGTATCTACGATTTCATTGGTTGAAATCTAGTAAATCTGTTCACTTTTGCAATTTTCACCTCGTTTCAAAATATGTATGTACAACCCCTCGATTGCTTGATTTAGTAGAAAAATTCTAAGCAACTTCGATCACTATAATCGTTGTATCGTTCATTAAAAAAAAAAATTGCCTTAATGCATGTTATTTGTAGTCCATTTATATGATGCGCCAATTACAAAGAAATTACATTCCTTATGCGCCGCGGAAGACATGCGTGGAACAACATTTACCGGAAACGGAAAAAAACGTTATCGCGAAATGTTATCGGAAATAATTCGTAGGAGGGCGCCACTATATCGATTGATATCTCAATCTCATTTCGCAGAGAATGCAGAGGCGACCGATTTGCACAGGTCATTTGGGCTTAGCGAACACACCTATGCATACGAGTTCGATACACTGCGAATCACATACATACATTTACGCATCATATACACCCCCATGCATAGGTTTTGCGAGCAAAAGCGCAATTAACATTTGAAAAACAAAAAAACAAAAAATGCAACTTAATATAACAGTAAGAGTAAAATCTATATTTAAGATACAATATACAATTGATTTAGATGAAACAGGCTAACGAAACTAAATTTTTTATTTATATTCTTTAATTAAAAAGAAAGAATATCTCTCATCAATGTCTGAATCACTGCTGCTATTAGATCGAGTATGGCAACTGTGTCCAGCAGTTCCCTAGATTCTTATTCATCAAATACAGAGATAAGCCAATCATTTAAATTGTTTAAAAAGTTAAGAACAACCGAAGGGATCTTAAAGCTCTATTTAATGAAACATTTTTATTTAATTCAGTAATGTCAATTTATAGGTATAATTATTATAATCATTTCAGGGATATAATCCAAACTCGGCAAATCTCAAGTGTCCGATTTTCGATGTAAAAACTGGAAAAACTAATAGCAAACGTTCTTACAATTAATTAAATGCAACTCGAATAACGTAAAACACATTACATATTTTCGTAAATTTAACCCGGTCTTTCGTGTCGCGAGAGATTCTGTTACGGATAATCCGCGCGGCTGTTGTACTCGGAATCGCGGGTTCAGAAACCGGCCTCGGTGGTATGCGCCACACGCCACACCACCGCCCGCGCCACGCCATACCGCGCGGTTTGATTTACGTTTCCCGCTTCCCAGTCATGGTCGCCCCGATGGCGGGCGGCCATCTTGCGCGCGTGCGGAGAGCTTGCGCACTGGCACGCCCGTAATTTACGACTCTCCTCTCTCGCGTACGCGAGCGCGCGAGCTTCTTCCCGTTTCAGCGGTAGGTTTTTCGCGCGAGGCGTCGTCACCGCGATTCGTCGTCACCCGCGAGAAGTTCTCCCTCAACAATCGTCTCGATCGACGTGTGAAACGCGCGTCGCTCGGCCGTCGGCGAGAAACGCGGCCGGGAAAACGTCGCGCGCGCAAAAGGAGCAGGACGACCGCCGCCGCGGTGGGAGAGAGAGACACAGAGGTGGGCGGAGTTTGCGCCCGTGTGAGCTGTGTGAAGTTGGCGACGAAGACGCGCGGTTGTCTACGCGGACGACGACGCGTTCCTCGAGCGTCCCGTCGGGAAATCGGTCGAGAAATCGTCGCTCCTCGAGGAACGTCGCCCGCGCGCGAGCGCCCAGGCCCAGCGTGGAAGAGGTTATGAGAACGCGGCTACGAGTGGCTACGAGAGGCCTGAAGTTAGGCGATCGTAAATAAAGAGGTGGATGCGCGCGCGGACAACGACGGATCGTCGCAAACGCGCGAGGAAGGAAGAGGGAGCGAGACGCGGCGGCGGCCGGCGCGGGAGGCAGATGCATGGGGCGCTCTGATTGGCCGCGGCGGCTGCTATGGCCGCCGATTGGCGTACCGCACGCATATACTCCAAGGCACAGCACGGACGCGCACGTACACCCGCGAGCCGCGTAGCAGTCGCTCGAGCGGCCGAGGACAGTGAGAAGAGCGACGGAAACGGTCGGTCCGCGCGCGCCGTCGTCGTCGTCGTCGTCGTCGTCGGCGCAGTTGTTTCCTTGTAAGGCGGAAAGCTTCGTGTGCGACGTCCGTGGCGCGGATGGCTCGGAGAACGACTCCGATTTTCAGCCATAGCGAGTAAGAACCGTCGAACCATCGTGAAGGAGCGAGAGAGAGAGAGAGGAAGAGAGAGAAAGAAGGCAAGAGAGATATTATATATACATATATATATATATATATATACATATATAGATATATATACATAGTGTGGAGTCTCGACGAGGAGAGGAGTGCGGTCCGGGCGCGACGCCGACCGTTTCGACACAACCGCGTATACGTAAAACCCGACAATCCGTCAATGTTAGAGCCGCCGGAGGCAGCGATCTCAACTTGCCCTATATTGTGTATACCAGATTTTACAAGTCGATAATTAGAAGCGCAGTGTGTGTGTGTGTGCATCGCCGGAGCGCGCGGCGGCGGTGCGGAAGGGAAACGGAGCCGAGAGAGGATAGAAGGAGCATCGCGGAGCGAGCGGAAAGGTGAGAGCAGCGTGCCGCGGCGAGAGCGAGCGAGAACGCGCGAGAGGAGCCGACGGACGGAGGGAGAGACGCAGAGAAACGGAGCGGAGTTAAAACCGCGCCGTGCGACACGCAGAAGGACAAAGACCGCGGCGTTGGCATAACCTCCAAGTCGTTCGCGCCGCGCGTTTCTGCGCGAGACAACGGTGCGTCAAGTCACGAGGTGTTCGTTACGACGGAGATATAAAATAAGTGAGAAAGAAGAGAGAGAATATATTTTTGCAAGTGTGCAGCGCGCGCCTTCCACAGATCGACGATTGGAGCACGGGGATCCGGAAGAGGAAGGCAAAGAGAGAGAGAGGGAAAGCACGTGCATCATTACATCCGGCCAGCGGCATCGTCCGACGAGGCAGATCGCGGAGGCCGGATCTGTTCAAGTTTGTTACGCGTTCTTTCGCGACACCTGGTATACGAGTATATAACGCGTAGGTGCGTTACACGCGCGTGGTGGTGCGACACGAGTGCGCTCCCGTCGGCCGTTCCGTTCTGGGCGCCGCGACGTGTAGCGGATATACAAGCAAAAGGGAAAAGGAGAAAATAAAGGGAAGGAGACGCACACGTCCACGTGGACACGTACCTACGTACGTGAGACACGCGGAACACGGTGGCCAACTGATCACCACCGGGGCTGGGAAGTAGCGGTGCATCCGGTTGATGGATGAGACTGGCAGGATGCTGCAACACGGAGGTTCAAGTGTGGGTCTGATGGGTGGAAACCAGGGTCCGACGGGCCAGAACACCGCCGGCTACATGGGCCCGGTCGACGGCACCGCGGCGCAGGGCCCCGACCAGGCGGTCGAGGCGAGGAAACAGGACATCGGCGAGATTCTGCAGCAGATCATGAACATCACGGACCAGAGTCTGGACGAGGCGCAAGCGAGGTATGCCTACGTCTCTTTTCCCTGCGCTCCGCCATTTTTTAACGCGCGGGATGCGTCTCTTTTGATCTTACCCTCGTTGAAATACTCCGTTGTCTTTTTTTCAAGGGTCTCTTCCTGGTCTCGGAATACTCCTCTTCATTTTCGACGCTTGCCAACAATCCCATATTTTGTTTTCTCGTATACACATATACGTATATATTTAATGTTTACCGCGTTGCCTAGTTGATAGTTATATCAGTAGCGTCGTATTCGTAATTGCCACGACTACTTTCGCGCTAAAGTGTCCGTGGGGTCTATCAGCGTTACGTCGGGGCTGAAAATTATGTTTACGGCTCGTTAATGGCGGAATTAAAGGTTTAATGGTACTTTCGATTTACGAGGTCGATTCGTTACCCGGGAGAGGAGCACCGTGTAAACGAAATTCTCATAAAAGCAAGACGATGCCCCCGCGCGTATATAAAATATACGGTGCGCGCGCTTTTATTTCGAGTCCCCGGGTTACGGGCGGTTCATGGAAACGCATTAAATCGCTCACCAGATTACAAAGTACACCCGCGATACACTCTCTTTCTTGCTCATCGATTCCCGCAACGTCACGCAAGAAGTGCATCTCGTTCGTTCTCCTTCGTATCTCGTAAATCAAATTAAAAAGAACACGTGGAGCGCTTTGCCACAATCTTTGCAGTTAATTATACGGTATTGTAAAACGCGCTCAACGCGCTTATTAATGACGACGAGTGATAATGATACTCCTACTGTGGGACTCGCTCGTGTGTACTTAGCTAATTATACGCGCGTTATTCATTAGCGCATTAATCTGCCTGATTTATCTCGCGGAATATATATCCCGGTAAACACATTCTCTGTACCTTCCTATCTTTTTATGATAATTTGGACGGACCTGCAAAGGCGTTTTGTCCGGATAAGATCTATCGACCCGCGAAGATATCGCCCGCGATGCTACGTTTCTCTCGTTTTACGATTTCGCAAGTAAACAAATGACGAACACACTGTAAGATTATGGTGAGACTCGAGACCGTATATTATTAGGACGGTACAGAACGAGTCGAAAGAGAGTATTGGCGAATATCAGACCTCTCGTATAGTGTCAGGAATAATGTCAGGAAAGTAATGAGGGTAGATGGAAAAGGGTACCTCTCGGTAAAACTCGTGTAAAAAGAAGATAATTTACATATATTTCGGAAATGACGAAGAGAACACGCTCCGCGAAGAAAATAGGAACGTAGCGCCCAATGGGGCACCGAACTCGGGCTCCTTGTATTTAACCGTATCGCCTGTGCACACACGCGACGACTAATCGTAAAGTGTGCCTGCCCATATTCACCTGGCGTCGGCCTCGTTCATGTGCGTTAAGTTATATTAAGTACCTGTCCGCGCGTTTGATGCCGCTACAAAGAGTGCCCAGATGTGCCTCCCACGAATACGTGCATTTTACGCGGAGCGCGCGCGCAGGGTGGAGGCACTTGTAATTTCGCGACGTGCGTTAAACGCCTTGGCCATTTAAATATCGCGGCCCGTCAATTAAGCGTACGGCCTTGAATTAAGTTAATTGCCTTTATTAACACTGAGCCGCTAATTTTGATGGCGATAGTTGTAATTTCACGTAATTTGCATGCAAAGCGCCCTAGATTTGCCTTCTCTTTATCGTATACAGTTCTTCCCTTTCGGGGCTTCGCGAAGGATCGATCTCGAATTTATCGAAAGCCTTTTACACGATTTTGAGTAGCGACGCCGAGCTAATCCGTTCGGTTTTTGCTTGCAGGAAACACACCCTCAACTGCCATAGGATGAAGCCCGCCCTGTTTTCAGTCCTCTGCGAGATCAAGGAGAAGACAGGTGAGTGATTTTCTCTCTTTCTTTCTCCGCAACAACGCGGGCATTTGCTCTTTTTACCGCGCTCGACTCGCACCGCTCGGATCATTAAACTTTACGCACGAACGACTCGCCTATTTCGTGCCGTGCTAACAGATGAATGGAATTTTTAAATCAGTCAATTTTGGAAGCGACAAACTCTCGCTCGTGACGCACGTTTCCGTAGAGACCTCGAATTTCAATCTACTCTTCTCCCTCTCGTATGTATATCAGGTTGGCGTTGCCCCGCGTATTTATATACATACTATATGTATTTTACGCGACGCGAAAATCGAACGTTACGAGGATGCTTTATTATTTTTGCAGCGTCATTGATTATATCTGTGTGCGAGCGAGGTTTTATTCCATTCCACCCGTGCGCGCGAGTTATTGTGCGTCATAAATCATAGGTCTTATTTAAAGCGTTGACTCTTCGGCGCCCGGTTGTGTGTTTGGAATTGATTTTTAAATTTGCGTTTTTAACTCGGAATCGATTGGAACCGGTATATAGGCTCCCGACGAGCTCCCGATGATTTTCGGATAGTTTACGTGTACATATGCAGAGAGGATTTCTACGGCCTTCGGGATCGTTGCGAAAGAAACGCGATAATGGGCGATAAGACGGTATTTTAAGGTGTATCAACATCGAAAATCGAGCTCGAGACTGCCGACTCCGAATCTCAATCTCTTAACGCGAAAACGAGCGATTCACGGAGAAATCCATGAATAAACGTCGACACATCCGAGCTGTTGCGCGTCGCGGCTCGCAATCACAACGGACCCGAAATCGAGAAATCGCGAGAGATCCCTATCTGTGACAGCGCAACCCGCGTTTACGCTCTCCCTTCGGCCACCCTTCGGTCGCGCGACCCTTGCGAGACCCATTCGAAACTCGTAAACATAATTTTTATGCGATGTTTGGATTACTTTTACGCGCGGATCAAGAGACCGCGAAATGCACAATTATTTCTGGGGGGAGACGCGATCGCGGAGGAAGGAGAAAGAGAGGAAGGGGACGAGATCGCGGGGGAGAGCGAGAAAGAGGGGGGGGGGGGGGGGGGGGGTTGGTGGCTACGTCAAAAGTATTCGCTGCCCGTTGGGGGTGGAAGGACCGCACCACGCCCCTCATGCTAAGTTACCCTCTTTCGCATCGCTTCTCTGCTGATGTGTATGTCTGTGTATATATATATATGTGCATGTGCTTGCGTACACGCATTCATACAAACCCAAGCAGTAGGCACGGGGTCGTTGGCGCAATACGGGCTGTGACGTCAACAACGACACCCCACGTTTCCGTAACGTTATGATATTTCCAAATGGGCGTTGGGTGCACCTAACGAAAGAAATCATCTTCTTCGCAATCGAGGGAGAACGAGATCGCTATTGATTGTTTTTTTTTATGAGGAATTTTGAATACGGACGAGATCGTATGTTTTTTCTAACGCATCTCGGAAATCTTGTCCCATTTTTATAACTTTGTCCTTTTTCATTGTCTTTATTGCCTCTCGCTGTCGTTGTACCGTCGTCATTTCGTTATATTGACATTTTTAATTGTATTTTATCTGGAATTTGCAGAGATATTAACCCTTCCGCTTCAGTTTTATATAACTAACTTTATAGCAAAAGAAAATCTGGTGAAATCTAACGATATTTTGTAGGGAAATTGTAATGGCTTTAAAATATTCTATACAGAGAGTCCTTTAAACTTTACTAATGTAACTGTCATTATTTAAATAGACGAGATGTGTACACATTATTATTGTGACGCTAAGATGTTCTCAAAATTTTCTTTATAATTTTTACGTGATTTTTTTATCGAGATATTCTTTGAATATTTTATACTTACACAAAAATATTTTAATAATATGTTTACCGTAATATATACTGGCAATATTTTATGGAAATTGAAATGTATTTGGGACATCTAGAATTATGTTTTGTTATATCCTGCATATATAAAATGTTTGATCCTTTTGATTCGAGTTTGAATAGTATTGGTGAAATAAGCAAAATCGTCGATGATACTGCATTGAAAAGTACTTCATTTTTCGACGCGGGAAAAGGATGACGAGACGAGAGGCGAGGGACAACAGAGAAAGAGGTTTAATTGGAGTTTATTGTAAACAAAAAGGGCGTCAAAGTATGATGAGCACTCGAGATGATGAACCGTTTTAACGGTCCTGTATCTTTTATGAGTTCCGGTCCGGCTGCGTGCTGCAAGTGCCACACGCGTGCGCGCGGGAAAAATGCACCGAGAGCTCTCTCCTTGTCGCGTTACGCGGGGAGGAAAAGAGACGCGAGATAGTCGTAGTCGAGTTTATGGGCGATGGCTGACGAGGCAGTGAAAAAGTACTAAACCAAGAGGAGCAGATAAACGCTATGTTAAGCAGACCGTTTTACCAGCCATTTAATATAATCGGCTCTCGCGCGTTCACTCTCTCGCGTGCGCCGCTCAGATAACTTCGGATCATCAAGACCCGTGCAAGGTGGGACCGTTCTCCTTCGTATAGGCTGGAGCCTTATCCCTTTGTTTGCCGCCGATGACCATCGCGCTGTTATACGTGTGTAACGTCGCGAATTTTTATTTTCTCAACCACCTTCACCCTTGTCGGCCCCTTTCAGCGAAGGAATCCGAATTACGCGCGAAATTCTGCGAGGAATAGGATTCTCCGCCGCTGTATGAATATTAATAATATCCGCTTCTCAAGTCCCTAAATCTCTTGTTGCGATCGCATTGAATTACAATGCAATCGAGAACAAAAAATTATACGAATTTCTTGCTTTATTCGTAGAAATTATTTTCTGCATGTCACAGTTCGTATTCGATAGAATAGATTTATGAAATACACAGGAGATTTGTTTTATTCATGATTTATCCGTAAACTTTGATCAACAATCACAAAATTAATTTTTGCTAGAAGTAAATTAGATATGCGAACAAATCTGTCTTGATAATTTAAACGAATTATATGCATTTTTTTGCTCGTGATGTAATCTAATACGATTGCGATGGATCTTAATTTTCCGTTACTCCAAATCTAACTCGGGGCGATCACAAGCAGAGAATCGGGCGATCGCACTTAGCGCTAATTGTACGATGCAATTACAAGACACGTAACCAGGCAACTCGTTCGATTCGCGTTAATGGACCGTCCTACTTCCTCGAATATCACGTGTAACGATCGATCGGGCCCTAAGAGGCAGTCAGCTCTCTGACTACGATTTGTCACGGTCAAATTGGAAGAGGCGCTTTCCTCCCTGTAACGCGCTGATCTTCGAAGACCTGTTTCGGGGCGAACACACCGCTCAGGACGATTTCCCGTGGGGCGCGCGTAGATCCCGAATACCGAAAAGAACGGAGAGACAGGCCTGCCCGAAATCCGCGGGATTTCTCTACTCGCCTTTCTTCAACCGTTGGTCCCCCAATCCCCTTTTTTTTCGTCCTCTCCCGCGCGGACAGCCCTCTTCAAGCCCGCATAGAGCAGCTGGCATAATCCTCCGCGTGGTGCACCGAAAAAAAATCCCGAGGGTGTCGGAGGAGGGCTAAGCTCCGACCTGGTTGCGCGATAAAATAGTCCATCTCGATAATTATCGGATGCGCAGAATCGCCGGACGATGAACTTTTCGGCGCGCCCGGACGCCCGATAAAACCAAATTAATCCGCGGCCAAAACAGATAATTCGGCCGAATAATAATCCGCGTCGCTGCCATTAATCACGGATCGGCCGATATTGATTTCGCGCGCGGCGCGCAATCCGATTGGCTGACTTTACTTACGGCCCGTCATTGCGTGTATGACGCACGTGCGTTCCGTGCGGCGCAATCGGTTACACGCACAGGGTGTTCCATGCGTGGATTAGTCCGGTCCGTCTGTCGATTCGCCGAGGATTTATTTAATTTTGGACACCGCCGTGCCACCGCGGCGCACATGCATCCTCGATCCTTCCGCAGTTTTGAAACAATGGCAGCTCTCGCGCAAACAATTAAAAATCCATACTCGATTTGGCCGCCGGCCAACAGCAGCTCCGTTTCCTATCCCGCACACCTATATAACTCGCGCAATAGGTACATGTCCCGTCTCTCATTGTTTTCGCCATGCAGTATCGCTCGATATTTTTAATATAACACACTGTTCATTAGGGAAATCCTTTTTCAAGCGTCAGTTAGGAATAATCGATTTGAAGACCGTTTTATTCAGCTACAAACAACGAACGTACGTGTTGCGAACATTTTATTCAGAGGCATGACCTTTCGCGCCGCGTTGCATGATATGTTAATATTAATCCGAAAGGCGAAACGGAGCTGAGCCCACGTGAGTGGCTCGAGGAGCGCATTGCGTTTCGCTGCAACCGGCCGACCTTGATTTCGCGGAGCGCATTTCACGCTGGATTCACCCCCGTCCTTTATCTCCCTCGTAATTAATGGCTCCGTTTGCTTCCATTTATTACGCGAGTACGACACCGAACTGTCTTCAGCACGCCGGGTGAGCACGCTCGCGCGTCCTTCCGATCCTCCGCGCGTGAACGATTAAAAATGTTCCTCTCGGTACATTTCCCCCGTACGCGAAGAATTCACGCTGACGCAATTTCGAAAATTAATCAAATAAATTGAGATTTAAAATGTCGATTAAAAAGAAACTTTATTTGGATTTAATACAACGCTCTGTCATCGAGATGAAATTCTCTCGCTGAGTAGGTAACGTAAAGATGGTAGACCACTCCAGGGGAAGCTCGATCGTACGCATCGCATTCTGTTATTGTTACAATGTACGAAACGTCCCTTCGGTTTTCGAGAGGTTGACGCGGCTCATTCCGGCTCTCCAGCTGGAATGTCGTTCCCCTAGCTTCGCTTTCCTTTTCTTCTTGTACCCGCGCCTTTCGTGCCCTCTTCCCTTCCTCGCCCCTTCTTCCTCCCTCTTTGTACTTCCATCTCCGTCTCTTCTTCACCCGTGATACTCGCATGCAGATGGGGTTCCAGCATCCCAA